TTGTCTCCTTTGCCCTTTTCAATTTTGCTTTATTTTCTTATAGTTTTATAACTTAAGCTGTACATATTTGGAGATGTTTTTTTCCTTTCCTCATCTAGCTTTATGGCTTGTTCTGGCTGAGATGTCCTTACATGATTTGATTTTACAAGAAATATAGGCTAACACATGTAATTGTTCCACAGTGAACCAATCTGTCTGGAGCACTGGGGGAAGATATATATTAAAGTTTTCTTTCATGCTATTTACAGACCATATTGCTGGCACTACAAATGATGCAAAATATTAGGAACTGCAACAAGGCTTGGGCTAGTTAGCAGGGAGCATAAATATATGGTGGGGCCAAATACTCCTCAGAGTAATATTTTCATCAGAAACAGAATGTACTGTAACCAGGGGAGATAAGCATGAGTAGGCTAAACTGACTATGCTTAGAGACAACATGCAACAACAGCTACAAATCACACACTGCTGAGTGACACTTGAAAAATTGAAGCCTGATTCTTCTATAAGGAAGAGCTCTTCCAGCTCCAAGTAGGGTGTGAGGCAGGAGCAGGTCATGGGGACTGCCAAAGTGTGCCAAAATGCATCCGTGCCAACAGCACAGAGCAGCTGTGACATTAGCTAGGAGGGGAGGCCAGGCTGTGCTCAGCCTCTGGAGACCTGCCACTTGGTCCTTGTGCTGGTGGCAAGTGGCCCTCTGATAATGGAGTGTTTAAGGAAGTGTCACAGAGCCAAGTGGATTGAGAGCAGGGAATCATCGTGGAGGAGCTCAGTAGCCTTTTCCACGCAAAGAAATGGTGTTTCCAAGCAGGAGAGCAGTGATGAAAACAGCCAAGAATTGTTGCTGAGGTGGAGTAGCAAACCTTGTTTAACACAGGGTGCATTGCAGCGGTATCAGCAATGTGGAGTCAGTGCTCCAAGTGCCGCATAGTAGGACTCATTTAAAGAGGCTATTGTAAAAGTCTTCAAGCCAGTTAATTACCAGTTTTTGTTATGTCAGGAACTCCTTGAGTTAAAGCAGAAAGAAACTATTCATGAATATGTTCCAGTTCTGTAGTTTAATGGGACAAATTTAAAAAAGAAAAAAAAAGAATGAGAGAATGAAACTGATAAAATGATTTAGTTCATGGAAAGATTGAAAAGCCTTACAAAAAAAGCTGAAATTACATATTGTGCCCCATCTACTCTTGCATAAGCCATTGAAATTGCTGGAGACTTAGCTGGACTAATCGTCCATTGCAGTTATGCATGAGCCTTAGGGAGTGCACAGGGTGCATATAGGCCAAAGCACCAGCCTATGAAAGAGAGAGAAATTATCCAACAGCATTTTTTTAAATGTAGATGTCCAGGTATGAAAAGCCAAGCTTGCATTTAAAAGAATTGAGAGCAAGTGAGGAATTTAATTTAATTTATTCACCAAGTGGACTTGAAGAGGTGTGAAAAATGGACTGAGGTCAGCCAGGTTGGGTGGGTCTCTGAGCAACCTTATGGAAGGTGTCCCTGCCCCTTGCAGAGGGGCTGGAACTAGATAATGTTTAAGGTCCCTTCCAACCCATTTCATTCCATGAAGGGATGCTAGGCAAGAAAAAACTTTCAATGGAAAACAAAAATCTACAGAAGACATTAATATAGGTTCATTCCCCTCCTGCTTACACGAGTTTTTCTCTCTGCACTTCCCTGTTTGCTGTGAAGTTACTGATAGACCATGGTTATTGCAAGCAGATTCGGACCTAGAAGTCCCATCTGATCAGAAAAAAAGTAATATTGCATGCTGCATATTGAATTGAACTGCAGATATTGGAGTAAAGCCTTTTTAGAACCTCTCTCATACTATCAGAATTCTTCAAACATTTACTTTGCTCCTTCAGAACACCCTGAAAATCACCAACACATCTACTGAATTGAGTTTTAAAAGCAACTCAGAAACAGAAACAAATCAGTTTTTGGCTCTACTGGCTAGAAGAATACTGTTGCCAAGGGGGTGCTTCCTGCACGTGTCTGAGTACCCCCGAAATGACCTGTCAGGTATATATGTGTCCTGGTTTCTTCTGTTGCAAAGAGTTTGTTAGGAATTTAGCCTACCTCTTGAGAGAAGGAATGAATCCAGCTTGCCATAATACCCATCTTCCTAAATCTTACCATTCCACAACCGAGACCCCAGTCCTGCTCATATATTATGAAGCATCTTGGAGGAAGCTTTTATGATTTTGTGCCTATAAATGCAATAATCTCTCAGAATATGGAGAAAGTGCAGAGGATATTGGACACAATTTGTTAGATATTTTCTCTTGGCATTACTTGTATCTTTTAATCCATGGTAAACTTCTCTGTGCTTGGCTTTTCAGTAGTCCCCAAGTCCTACACCAAGCACCTCAGGAAATGAGACTACTGTAATGTAGGGCTGACCACACCATAGAGGTTATCAGCCTTTCAGTGGTGCTCTCTTCCCAGGCCTGATTTCCCATTTGGCATGCTGCTCCTCACTTCTCCCTGCTCCTGCTCCCTTCCCCTGCCCAAGGGCTTTGTTCTGGGTGTAAGAGCCCCTGTGAGGCATGCTGAACTTACAGGGTTCAAGACATGAGGTTTTTGCTGTGTTGTTCTTCTTTAAGGTGCTAATTTGGTTTTACTAATATATTTTCAATGTTTGGGATTAGCAGAGCTTGTAAGAACACATCAGACCTGTCAGGTTTACAAGTCCACTCACCACCTCCACCCCCTTACATATATTTTTAAATGGCTAATTAGAAGATAATGCCAGTGGAATGAAATAGTGTCATAAGATAATGATCTCACACCACTATAGAAATGGTAAGTGGAAATGTTTATTTTCAAAGGAAAGAAACACTGATCATGTGCCTAATCCTATATTCTTAAACAAGTAAAATTCCTCTAGATTTCAGTAGAGCCTGAGGTGACAACATCCTATTACTGTGGCAGTGTTTCTGGATACCAAACGGCCGTAAGTGATGCAGTCATTTTCTCCAAATGATACTGGTGCAGTATTGGAACAGATGTTTCCCTTACCTTTATTAGCCTGTTGTATCTTCTAACTTGGAGGACAAATTTTGCATGTGCTTCATTGCACCAGCTTACACGACTGTTTTTAAAATATGTGCTTTAGGAAGCAGTGAGCTGTGGTTTGGATGAAGTTATGCTTATTTTTAACTTACTGACAGTTCATAGTGGTGAAACATAAGTCTCAGTTGCTACTGCAGGCTCCCTTTGGTACACTGAGGATCCTCTCTGTTTAAGACGACGATGGTCTTCCCTCTGTCCTTCTGGAATTTTGGACAAGGGTGGTCTTAAGTTCACCTTTCAGGAGTCAACCACCTTCCCTTTGTGGTGGGGTGAGGGACTACTCACAGGTAACAGGTACAAGTGCATTAGCCCTCCTGGACTCACTGTTTCTGTTCCCCTGTAACAGAATTGAGATAATGTGGGGCAGATTTACCTCTCACCTTGTGTTTGTACTCCCACCAGCAGTGCTGCTGGGGGATGTGTTGTGCAAATTCTTCCCCAAATCACCTTCCAGGGAGCTTCTCTCTACTAGGAGGTAGCAGTAACGGGGTGACTACATTCACCTTTACTGCCTCCCCCAGGCAGGCCTGCTTTCTATTGCAGCTCTGGACTCACTTTAGATGCAGGGCTGTCTTACAGACAGGGGAATTCTGCAGTGGAAATTGGAGGCAGCTAAAGAGCTGCTTTCAGAGAAAAGCTTGATATTGAAAGCATTGAGGTTTTTCCTGGCCAGAATTAACTTGCACAAGTTGTCAGTTCTTCTCCATGGAAGGTGGTCACTGGTTTTCAGAATTACTGCTGTTTTCACTATTAATGAAGCTTCATCTTTCCATTGGATCATCTCTAACCTGCTGTAATTGTTTTTATTTTTTACCTTGTTCACCAGTTCATGTCTAAATACAAGAAGATGTTTATATTGCATACATTCAGCTTTAATTGGCCCTTAAAAGAAGGTGTTGATTAGAATCTTCTCAACATCAACAGCTCGCTCGCACAACATTCTCTAATTACTGTTTATTAATTTAGTTCAAGTGGCATAGTTGAAAGCCCTGCTCAGATGGGAGAAGTAAATTGTCACTGGTATTGAATATGTAAATTATGTGCCATGTAAGTTTCCATGAAGAATGTTTAAAGTTAAATGTTACCCACATAAAGCCTTCCAGTTTCATCTAAGCCAGCCATATGACAGCTTTGCAAAAAGTGTCATGAAAATTTACCAGCTCTGGCAAAAAAAGTACTTGCCTATCCTTTACTTTTTTCCATTAACATAATCATGATGATAATAATAATTTATTTGCCCATCAAAAAAAAAAAGTAATCATTCATTCTGTCTGGCTGGAGATTTGCAAAGCTGCCAATTGAATCTGAATTACATGTTGCTACAGTATAGACATTCAGCAGCCTGGATTTTTTGCCCTAGTGCAGTAACCCTCCCTTCTCTTTAATTAGCTGATAAAGTCAGAATTTCTTTAACAAAGTACTCATTAAACATTGCCTTGTTACATTACTTTAAAATGCAATTAAAAGTTTTAAGGGTGTCGTGGAGTTTGTGTGCCATTGTCAGCATCCATGTCACTCACTATCGGTTTCCACCCACTCACACAGATCAGAGGCCTCCTGTTAAATATAGATGGAACTTCATAGCATTTCTATATAGACTAGGCATAAAACAATATCCTGATGAGGATGACCTGACTGCACCTTGTATTTCTGGAAATAAGACAGGAATGGAAGGGAGGGCATTCTAGAGGAAGGAGAAGCTCAGTGTATTTGTTGTCCTTCCACCATTGCAGTTCTCTCTCTATGGCCCTTTGCGTGGGAGTAGCTGCACATTGCTGGTAAGTGTGCTGCTTCCAAGTCTTCCCAGACAAAGCTGCATGGGAACACCACATAGTTATTTTATTAAGCATCTGAAACAAGAGAGACCAGACATCGCGTTAAAAGAGAATGAAAAATATCCAATGCCTGAATGCTGCCTGGGCCTTCACCCAGTCCTCTCACTCTCGTTGGCTGCTGTTATCATGAATGGCACTAATCAGTTCCAGGAAATCTCTACAACAAGCATTATGTCACATATGGTTACATCATTCCCTCTAACCTCTAGGGCTTCCTGTTGACATCTTTGGAGCTCTTCTACTACCAAATGGTACTAGAAGAAACGCCAAGCTGTATTTTTATCCACTTCTGTCTGCCAGAAGGAATTCAAATGTTTCCCTTTTGCAGGTTTCACCTGCTGGGTCTCATCTTTGCTTCTTAAAATGAGCAAACCTCAGTGGACCTTCTCAGGGTCTCTCCAGATGTTTGCATAAAGGATGGTAAGTGCATGTGAGGGATTATTGAGACAGAAGGGGCTAATGCTTCTGCAAAAATGTATTTTTTCTTAATGTCTACCAAATTGCTAATCCAGCCTGTCAGCTGTGTAACCTCTGTTATTAATTCCACCCCAGGAAGCTTTTTCTCTGTTTCATTCTTAATTCTTTCCTAGTAGGTGCTGCACCCCAGTGTGGGCAATGTTTCACCCTCTCATTGATTTCAAGCATTGTGCTGCTTAGCATTCCCCTTTCTCCTTGCAGGGCCATCTCCAAAGGTAGGAGCCATTTCTCTCTCGGAACAGACAGTGACACCCCATCAGCTTCTCCTTGCAACCCCCACTTGTCCAACTGCTTTGCTGAAAAAAGCGGGGCTCAAAGTCTTTCCAGATCTAATGAGCAAGATTTTTCCTTCTCAAAAACCCCTGTGCTCCTTGGTTTGTGTGGTTTTTATTCTTATTATTTGTCTGGTTTATACCTTCCTTTCATTCTAAGAGTTTTATTTTTGTGGCTGTTTCTGTGTTTATTCGCTGCTGCAGTAGGTATCAACAACATGATTAAATTCCAGCTCTGACTGTTGCAACATAAGCGCTCTGCCTTCATTATCTGCAGTGCCTAAAACTATTTGATCTCTAATAAGTTCACCTGCAAGTGTGCCTCATTTGCATGATGAGGCTAACTGGTGCAGCCTGGGTGCATATTGGTCTGTGATTTCAGTTTCTCTTCGATCAGATGCATCAAACAGAAGGAGCTATTAGAATTGCCAGCGACTGTATTTTTTTGTGTTAATCATGCCAGAATACTGGGAGTCCCAGGCAGCCTTACCAGGCTGGAGAAATCCAATGATAAAAAGCATGGGAGTGCTTCTGATATCAGAGCACACACAAAACAGTGCTGTGCTGGGGATAGCTGGTCCAGTTTGATGGCACACAGTGTTAAGATCATACCCTGCTCCTGAGCAGGTTATTCAGTAGCTTTCTTTGGTGAGCTGCACATCCCATTGCTCCAAGCCCCTGAGGGAGCTGTGTCACCCAGCAAGGATCTGTCTCCTGAGCCATCCGGCTCATAGCTGGAGGTGTCCTTCAGCATCTCTGAGGGTCTCTGCCTGACTGTCCCCAGCTCACATTCATCCTCACTGGTCCTGCACTTAGATCCAGTTGACATTTATATGGCAGTAATACCAAGGGTTTTACTGTCCAAAGTACATAGGAAGAGAAAATGCACCAAGCTTTTAGGAATCTGAAACATTCTTTGTGTCTGAAACGGAAGCAGCAGACTTCAAAGCTAAATGTAAGAAGAGAACAGCAGCTCAGTGATTGTGAGTTTCGTAGCAATAGTGCTGAAAACGTGTCAAGTTGCCTATTTCCTTTCTAGATCAAGCTCAGGATAGGCTTGTGTGTTTTACTGTGTTCAGCATGACTTCCAGAAATGTGATTTTCCCCATTGCAGCATCCCTTACTTCTCTAATTTCAGATTTCAGCTTCTTACATTGCATTTTCATTTGAGACAACTTTTAATTGAGCTGAATGATCTCTGAGAACATCAAAATGTATCTCATTGATCTGAATGGGTCCTAGACTGAGTTCACATTTCATACACAAAACCAACTGTTTTCTTTTGCTCTTGGGCTCACACAGCTCACACAATAAAAAACTAAACCAAGCAGAACCAAACAAAAGAATTCTGAGGAGCTCATCAGCAGTACTTTCAGTAATTTTTCCCTAGCACATACTTCCAAGATTTTTTTTTAAATGTCATTCATACATCATCTGCCCCAACAGACAATAGTTGTTCCAGAGAAGCTGTTGCTCTCTATTAGGTCAATGATCAGTGAACTAAACATTTTCTACTTAGGCCTTCATATGATAAAAGCCTAAGAGCTTTGAAGGAGCCATTACAGACTATTGCCTAGAAGAAATATCCATTTGAAAATTCAGCAATTATGTACTTCTATAATAGCGTGTAAAAGGAGCTCTGGACCCATTATGGGTTATTGAGTAAATAATGTATTTTTAAAAGTGTCTAAGTAATTTATATGATAGCCTGTATTGGCAGCAAAGAGTGATTGTAGACTAAACATTCTGTCTTTCTCTCTTTTAAAAATCTCATTTAAATCCCTAAATAGCAATTAAAGAAAGAAATCCCTGATGCAGTTTCAGTATTTCTATAGTAGTCAATAGCTAATGGCTCTGACTTTGCTGCACTGAGGCTGCCATTTTGTGCTGAGACAGTTTTCTCTGGTCTGACTTACTTTTTTTGTCTTGATTGGATAAGACAGGAGGTTTCATTATCAAATATAATGTAGAAGTGTCCAGAGGCCTCCTGGAGGTCAGACTCACAGTCATCAGACCTACCCATAATCAGGAGCATCCACTAGCTGGAAGAGCCACCAACCCAGAGAGAGAAGACAGGAAGATGTCTATCCCTATTTGGGGGAAAAAATGAGTCTTGGACAGAGGAAATATGTTGTCTGAGATCATGAAGGGAACAAAGAACCTCTGCCCCTCAAGTCCAAGTTTAGTTTCCCTGCTTTATATGTGGACCTTCCACAGAGAGGCTGTTCATCTGCTAATGCAAACTGCTCCTCTATCAGGTGACCTCAATAGTCTTTCTTCAGATCTCTGCATTCAGTCCTCTCAAGCACAGACCCTGGTCAAAGCAGATAGGAAAATACTGCAGTTAAACAAAAATTACATTGTAGCAACAATGTAATTGTTTGTAAAACAAACTTGTTTTCCCCTTGTAAGCACTGAGTAAGTTTCCTTAGTCCTCCCATTTATTTACATTCTGCTTCCTGCCATAACAGGAACATAGCATAGTCACCTCGTTAATAATTTTCTGTTAAAATTTTAAAGAATAAGTTGAAACAGCTGTTTTTTAAAGAAACAGTGGTGCTTGAGCTGCTCTGAATTTTGGACATTATCTTGGGATCTCCAAATATCTGTTAGACCAAGCAGCCTTCAGTGCCCCAGGGACAGTACTGGACTTCTGTACCTGCGCCTTACAATATTGCAAAGGGCCTGACTTGAGGCAGCAAAAGTAAAACTATTTTCTTCCTATGATGATGCTCCATCTTAACTCTTTTTGATGGTACTTTATCTGGCATAAATTTGAGACAAAGTCACTTAATTTAGTGCTCTGGAACCTGCAGGTCCAGACCTGTGTTGTAACTCATTTTGTACATGAAACCCTTACCAGCCAGCGGGAAGAAAGCATCTGTTTTCCATGACTACCAGGAGTTCTGATTTCCCTCTTTAGAGGCTGTGCAAAGTCTGTTCCTTTATATGTGTGTTCAGAGCATATTGTGTGTGCTTCCCTATGCTCTTCAGTCATATCTCAAGAACATCACCTTTAGACCTGAATTTGAATACATCTGTTTAATTTCTCATTGTTTAAGGAAAGTGCTTCTGATGCAATGAATAGAAGTGTGGTATTGTAGCTGCCTTCTGGGAGATATCAAGAGATAGGTCTTTGTAGTGAGGATGCTGGCATGTGAAAGTTTTTTTTTTCATGTGTTCGGAAAGACACAAAGAAGAAAAGAAATGTAAGGGTACCAATGAACACATAGCTCAGAAGACAAAAAAGAAAGGGAGTGACTTAATGTAGAAATGGTAGGGAGAAAGGTGAAGTAAAAAATGGTGAAGGACTGGTAACAGAGACAGAAATAAATGAAGAAACAAGGTGAAAGGTGAAAATACATTTAAGTTGTATTCGAGCAAAACATATAATGCCTAAAAAAGCAATCTGTCTCTCTCAGAGTTAGACTGTATTTGTCACTTTGGAGAGTTATCTGTTGGGATAATTGACTGGCATGATGATGAAGTACCTATCACTGGAGCATTTCTATGACAGAGTAGTCAAAAATCTAGGGAATGCTGCCAGCTATTGGATGAACCCTTCCAGTTCTATGTTCTATGACCCATAATACATCCCATAATACGTGAGTGGGAGCAGCTACCTCAGTAACTGTGTGATCATGGAAAACCTGTTTCTGACCTGGTCACCTCCTCACTGAAATTCTCTATGATCTCAAAGACTAAACAAGGCATATAAATTAAGTCTATGAGGAAAATTAATATAGAAGGAGAAAAAAAGAAAAGGAACTGGTTGACTGCAGACAACATTTTCTTCTGACCTATGGACCCAATGCCACAAAACTTGCAATTTCCCCCTTATACTGAACAATGCCATTCTGCAACAAATATAAATTTAGATACAAAGCCAAAGCCCTCACAACTTGAGTTAAAAGATCTCAGCATCTTTCTTCCAAGAACAGTTATTAATTGATCTACTGTGCTTCAACACTACATAATTCTGTTCTCCCATTCAAGGAAAATTCCTTCTTGTTTTAACAAAGGTCACACTTATGAAATGATTTGGGATTGTTCTAAACTGGTGAATATTTTTAGCAAGCCACCAGTTACCATCACTCTGTAAAACAAGTGCAAAACAGGCTTTTAAAAGTACAGTCTGGAGAGGCATCAGATTGAGATGAAACAAACTTTCATTCTCCCATCACGTGAAGTTTCTCAGGCCTTGCCAACAGGATGTAGCAAAGCTGAATATGCTAATGTCAGTGGTCCCCTCTTGGAGGCAGGAGACTTGGATTGCTCCAGTACATATATACATATTCAGTAGAAGAAGGCACAGGCCTTTAAAGTGACCACTCCCACCCACAAATCTGCCCTGTGGTTTGTTTTTTTTACACTCTGGGCCACTGAGTACAATGCTGGTAACTGGAGGAAACTGCTTTTTTTTTCCTGACAGTACTTTAGAGACATTGGATTCATTATTTGAGGGTGTGTGTGAGATTCTGGAAGTAGAATTTATGTCTGCTATGCTGTGAGATCTTTGGTATGATATTGACTCACTCATTGGCACCTGAGAGAGGTTTGGGGAATTCAGCAAGTTTTCAACAATCCAGTTTGAAAGATTAAACAGCATTATAGCTCACTCAGGTTTGTCCTAATTTTATTTGATTTTCACCATTTCTAATTGCATAAACATATGCAGCCAAGTATGCAGGTGGGGACTGGGATGATGTACAAGGACACTCAGACTCCATAGGCAGCTAATTGGTGGACTAAGTAATAGGGCACTTGGAAAGACTGGAATTTTTTCAGAACATTCTGGAGTAAAATCCTGTCCCCATTTAAACTGAGGCAATCAAGAGAGGAAACATTTTAGCTATAGATTCTGTTGGAACTGAAGAAAGAGATGAGAGGAGCTATCAGATACAGAAAAAATACAGGATGAAAGTGGTTGTTTTGGGCAAGATTCATTACTTATTTGTCCTGGACACAGGAAAAAGATAGAAAGTCTCAAGTTCATAGAACTAGCCTGATAAATATGGTGATAGCAGAAGGTTTTTGATCAGAGCTAAACACAAGACAAGCAATGGTTAACAATTTCAGATAATAGCATGGGAAATGAGAAGTCATTTTGTTGTGAACATTGTTATTGTTAGCAAATGCTAAGCTGTAATATTTTCAGTGATATTTTATATTTTGTTTTAGAAATTAAATCTGTTTTTTCTATGTATAGGAGAGCTCTTGAGCCCCATGTTAAAGTATGCTATGGTAAAGTGACACCAGCTGAGGTACTGGCCTGGCTGTTTATGTGGGTGCTTTCCCATGAAATAGTATTGCTGTCCATATTTGTTAAGGTAATGCTGCTGTTGACTTATTTTCTACAATCAAAACAGAAAGAGGGGTAGGAGGGAAAAGCCTACACTCCAGCTTTTCCTCTGCAGTGTTCTTTATCTCTGATTCAGCATCTGCACTATGAAATTCACCATGAATGAATGAACACTCAGATGTCTTCACTTCCAGCAGAGAGGACACAACTCTCAGGCTGAATTAGGCTGTTTGGAGAGGTTTACCAAAAGCTCCATGGGTTACAGACACAAGACTGTTCTCTCACACTGGTCTGAACTGAGCACTTGGTGGGTAAGTAAAATTTCACTTTTTTTTTTCCTTTTGAAAAGCAGAATAAAGAAGTTGGTCACATATTTGGACCTGGACTTCCCAGTAAAGGCTTGCAAAGTCCTCTAAAAAGTCAAAATATTTAGTAAACAGATCATGAAATATTTTCTAGCAAAAAAAAAAAAAAAGAAAATACAAGAGGGATTTAATAATGTTGAGATGTAGTTCTCTGTTAATGACTTTATTTTCTTCTTCCTCCTGTTTAGGTAGTAACATACGAACTCTGACCACATCACCGGTGTGAAATTGCTGATTAACCTTTTGACTCGGACAATTGGGACTTCTCTCAACACCAACTGGTAATGCAGAAGACCATTAGTAGTTAATATTGGGACATCCCAGCTCCAGATGTCAAAAGGTTAATGAAAAATCAAGTATCCTGCTTTTACTGGGAAACTTGGAAACCTTCCCCCCAAAACAGTTCATTTTTTCTGATAAATAAGCCAGACTGCCTGAGCTGAGAAAGACGGGTGTTTTGCTAATGTGTACAGCTGTTAATTGAAAAAGATTTGGATATGCTTGTTCTTCTGGATGTAGATAAGAGAGATTTGCTGGCAAACTTAGTTGGTCTTGAACACCCCTCTGTTCAAATACACTACATAATAATCACGCTTTGTTCTTTCTGTAACAGCCATGGAGGGATTTTGAGGGGAATACTCATTTTCTTTAACTCATATCTGCCAGTAATCATTCCTGGCTTAAGACCAGCTGCCATTTATGTGTTTTATGAAAATATAACAGTTTTACACTCAAAACTATTTTCTTTTTAGGTAAAAGCTTCAGCACAAGCTGGTTCCCCGTATCTACCATAAATGCTATTTATCACAGATTTTGGTCTTTAAAACAGAAAGATAATGTTAAAACATTTTGATTACCCTTTCCTTGCTGCTATCATTCACAACCCATCTTTTCTAATTATGGTATTAGGACATTTACATAACCGGGAAAAGGGTCCTTTAACTACATTTCTATTATGTTTGGCACTTCTGTGAAAGGATATTATATTCATGTGCATTAGAGATTGCTTATAAAAGATCAAGACAATAATAGCAGATCAGACGATAAAGGTTCCCTTTTCTCCTCCCAGACAGGCTGTCTCTGACAGAAGAATACAGTTCATCAAAAGTGTCTGCAGGTTGTCAAACTCAGTGAGATTTGGGGACACTCGGAGGCTGTCATGGCCAACAAGAAGATTTTCTGTAGGGTTCTGCCATCATTCACCCTCAGGAAATAATCACTCACTACATTCTGCATGCTCTCATGATAGAGCTCTATTTGAGAAAAAAGAGCCATTTTATCAAAGGACAATATATCCCTTCTCTTGGTCCATGTAGCTTCCATTATCAGACCATAATAAATCATATTTATGTTCTCAGTTAATAAGACTGATTACAATGCAGGTTACAGGCATGGGAAAAGAAAACCAGGTGAAAAGATGTTTTAATGAAAATATGATAAGCAAACAGCTTCTTGTGAACATTTCAGGCTGTTATTTGTAATGATCACAGGCAATTTTTGATACATCTTCTTTAGCAATGGTTTAAGCTGCATAAATTGGCTTGCCACTTTATGCGTTGAAATAGGAAGAATCCCAGTGTCCTTCTTATGTTGTCTAGAATCATTATATATACATTATAAGCATAAAATGAGTTTAATGTATGTGCTTTGAAAAGAAGGGAAAAACAGAAAATCAGGGAAGACTGATTTTAATGCTACTCAGAATGATTTTGAAATTTTCTACTCATCTTTGTTACTAACGGTGCATTTTCCATGAAATTTAGGAATGACTTGTACTGCTTTCATCTCCTTAAAATTAATATACTGTGCTTTCTGTTTCTCTCAATGTCTTCAAAGTTTTTCTTAGAGCACTGTGCAAAGAGACAGAGAGAAATTCCCCACTCAAAGTGTAAGCATATCTGCTGTTAATGCTGAGGGGAGTTAAGTGTCTGCTTCTACAGGAAAATACACCCCAGTGTTCCTGAAGGCACCCTGTTAAAATGGTGCAGGAATGTTTAATTCCTGCACACGCGATGCATTCAAGGGCCAACTTCCACTTCCAGAATTTTTTTAAGTGATTAAGGCAGTTTTTTATTAGAGTAAATATTCTGAGTTCAGCATGTAAGTCTATGGAGGGAAGTGGCTGATGGACTGTCTTGCTCTCATCTTGTGAAGTCTTATTTTGCTAGTACGTTCGCCATTATACTTTCAAGATGAAGTTAGACATTTAAGGAATAATTTCCTCCTGCTGATACATAATTTTGACTGGGTCTCTGAAATTCTTCAGCACTTGTAGAACGATGGTGACAAAGACTCCTTGGTGTTGTATCTGCAGGACCTATTCTGCTCTCTGGCATTTCCCTAAAATCACTTTTAAACAAATTTTAAAGCTTTGTATTTGGCCTGGCTCTGGAGAATGGCCATAAAATTACCTTAACCCTTTTAGGACACTTCAAAAGAGCAATGCCCATATTAGAAACAGCAGACTGCTCTTCAAAGGCAATATCCTGATACAACAACAGACATAGATAATGTACTTCATGATGGAACTGCTTGATACAGAGAAAAACATGTTGTAACTGCCTTCACCGTGAAAGGGGTTTAAAAATGCTGCCTGCCAACTCCACAAAAACCAGAGCTGCTATTTCGGTTAAAGGCCAGTGGATTGTATTTTTCACGTCAGTTTTCACTAACCTCAAACATCACTGTTATGACGGACTGTCATCCAACCAAACCAGCATTCTGTTGAGATTCAAGCAAGCAGGAAAAAAACCAAACATGAAGGAAACTTAAAAGTCCAAGTAGTAATTGGGGGGTGCATGTGAGCGAACTACTTTCGTGTAACAATACTGATTACTGAAAATGAAACTCGTAAAAGAAAATAAACAAAAAGCAGTGCTTTCTGAGCCAGTAGTGTTTTTTTGGCTGGCAATTTCTCTTTGTTCTATTTCATGACACCAGGCTCAATGGTTGAAGGGGTGTTCTGGGCCAGATGTCAATCACAATGTCTGACATAAACAAAAATAGCTAAAAAGGCATGCCAGCATCTTCCTTTTGTTTTCCCATTAGCTCCATTTTTCTTTTCATAGGCTGACAAAAAATTACTGCCTCCAAGTGAATTCAGTAATGTCACTATATATCTAATATCTAGGAGACCTTTTGTTTTAGCTTTACTGGGCTTAACCACAAAAGACACTTGACATTGACAAAGAATCTGTCAAACATACAATGATCAGTGCAATGAAACCTCTCATGACAGAAGGGCACTATTCTGCCTCCCCCTTGCCTCCAGCAGCAGCCTGTCTGAGCAAAATATGCTGGAGCACATGTAGCAGCTGAACCATTACAGAACAGGCCAGAAGCTGAGATGTGTCTTGTTTAAATTGTCATAGCATATTAGTATAATTAAAACTGCCAAAAGAGTAGAAAAGATAGATGGAAATGTTACATTACTTGTTTCTAGAGATTAACCTCAAGCCAGAGCTGAAATAGAGAGACATGTTTTAGATTTCTTAGAGCTCTGATATGGAAGAAAACAAGCCCAAGAGTACATCTCTCGAAGTGCAAGACATGAAGTCATAGTTCCTATATTTACACAAAAAAAGGAGAAATAGTGCTTCAGACAGACACTCTGTTTCCTCTGTGATTACAGCTCCCATTGTGGGCTGTCCTCTGCAGAGCAGTTGTATCATCTCTCAGCTAATTCACTTCCACTCCCCTCTGTGCCTGTGAGGTTTTGACACCTCTTGGGCTTGCTGATGAGCTGATGTCACAGCTCCTCACACTGTCCCCATCTGTGGGCTTGGCTAGTGCTCCAGGTGCCCAGCCCCACAGCAGTACACAGTGACCCATGGTCCAGGCTCTGGGCCTCAGCAGTGCCCAACAGCAATGGTCAGGTACTCATCCTGCACAGGTTTCATCCTTTGGGCATGCCCATCCCTGGGGAAGAGAAACCAATGCCTGCTGGAGGCAGGCATAGCTAGACCAGCCCTGAGACTGCTCTTGAATCCAACCCCCTTGTACACAAGAGAGCCAGAAAGGGAAGACTTAGATTGCTTTGCCTAAGCTGTTTCTGCTTCTCATTGCATGGGAAGATGTTTGAACAACGGCTTCAATTTAAAATCTGACCTTTCAAATGCCAAGCTTCATGCTTGTTTCTGTGTTGAATGTATAGATATGGCTTTCTAAAACTGACCCTGAAAATTATGTTCTCTTCATCAATGAGATGTTTTCCTTCCCATGCATCGTTATCTCATAACTATTCAGGACAAACTAGTTATGATCCAAATTTATAATTATGCCCTGTGTTTATATCAGGTGGTAAGAAAATTAGTTAAAATCTTCTGTGTGTTTGTTCAGTTGTAGATGTTGGAACTCAATTTATCCAGAAGCTGGGGAGGACCTGAACCGGCTCAAGCCGTTCTGAAAGAGAGAAGAAGCAGCACAACCATCCTCTAACAAAAATGGTACATTCAAGAAGAAGCTTCAGGAATCAGCTAGGCCTCATGTTCATTTGCTTTAAGTATTAATGAACTTCAGAGCTTTTCTTCATTGGCTGATTTTCTTTACTTAAAAAGATGTTAAATGTGAGCCTTTAATTTTAGGTTCCCCATATTTCCTGTATTTCCCAAATTTAAGTCTTCATTAATGACTTTTCCATATAGGGTTTCTCTTAAATTTCTGTCAGGGCCTGTAGATGTGCATAACTAGTAAAAAATATGTTATCTGCATTTAGTGTCGGGTTTTGGAACCCTCACTGCCAAGTCACCTCTCCACTGCATCTCACCTCACATGCATTTCTGTGTAGTGCCAGGAGAAGAATGGAAAACAGCTATGAAGTAAAAGCAGATTCTGCTCCCATTAAAAGCAATGAAAACTGTGCTTTTACTTCTACTTACTCATAATAGCGGAGAAAAACGAAGTGGAAACAAGCACAACAAAACACCTCTGGCCAGCTATCTCCAATCTAACCAAGCTTCCACTAATGAGGTGCTCTGGCATTTAGGAAAGACAAGTTCTTCTAGAAATGGAAAAAAACCACTGAGTTTTTCTTCCAGTTCTGAAAGGCTAGTGAAAAAGGCTATTTCAAAAAATGGATGACAGTCAAACTTATAATGTTGTCTGTGCTATTAAGTACCTAGAGATGCCCATACAGTTTCTTGTCAATTAAATGCTTTTACATATATATTTGGCAGCTTATTAAATATTGAAACTTATATACCTTACCAAATTATTGACTGTATTTATAGGGTCATTTAAATCACCATAAATTTTTTGAGAAAGTTAATAATATCAACTTACTATAGTGGAGTAATTTTCAGGTCACATTTTCTAGAAAACTCTATACCATGGACAATCACATAGTCTATTAAACAGAACAGTACAGTTTGTGGAAAAGATAATAGTCCAGATCATGAGATAGCACCAGATTTCATATTATGATTTCCAGATGTCTTTGTGAGCTTAATGCATACAGCATTGGTTTAAGTCTAATCTGCATGGCAGAATTGCAAGTTGTTCCAATTTTCTTCTCACTGGGCCTGTGTGGAGAAACAGGAGGGCATTGTTCTGCTGCTTTGTAGAGAGAAGTTTACCCGAAGGACAAGGGAGAGTTGCACTTAGCTGTGTCCACATCCTCATCTGGCTGCAGAAAGCTGGCAAATCTGCTCCTGATGTTTATCTTCCCACCTCAGTAGCCCTTTTCCTGCACACTTGTCTCCACACAGTGTCTTGGTCACCCCAAAACATTGGACAGAACTGGCCTCCCTGTCCTGTCCCCAGCCCTAACCACTGGAAGCATCAACATTCTCTTTTGTTTAGAATGCTGGAAAGATGTGTTACAGCAGCCTGTCACAGCTGTCAGGCTTCTGTGACAACCTGGTTGCATTATTCTAAGCAGTGTGTGTAGATTCTCTGAAGAGACAGAAAAGCTGGAATTTCCCAAACTGAACATCATATATACTCACCCAGAAGCTCCTGGAGTGAGTGTCTGCAACCAGCAGGCAGCTTCCCAGCTGTTTCCAGGGTGCAGCTTTAGAAACAAAGTTCCCCGAACATCCACTGTAAAACAATGTATTGCATCAGTTTCCTGAATCAGGGACTAGGTGAAGTCACATTACATCACTGGCAGCCTGGGGAATTTACAGCACTTTGCAGGGCAGCCCAATATCCTCCTGTGCCCAGATGTCCACAAGTTTCTGGTGGGTCACACGCAACCATAAACATTAAATAGTATTTCCTCTGTTATATTCCTGCTGGAGACCATTCTACTGGTACAGGTAGGTGGGCTAGATAACAGTGCAAGGACCTGACAGGACATTTGCTTTTCAATTCTAGCACTGTTGGGCTGGGAAGTGAAAAAGAGCTCTGCAAACAGAACAGGTGTCTGAAATGACAGTGCAAAGGGAAAAAATGCTCAAGGCTACTTTTCCTCCATGGAAATCTCAACAAAAAAATGTCAGTTTGGGGCTTTTTGAATTTCTCTCTGGAGTCAAACATTCAGTGTGAATTTACAAAGGAGTGTGAGGAAGGAGTATTTTGGCTCCTTCAATCCTGTGTTACAAAACCTCCCAGGGCTTCAGTGAGGATTTTAGCATCTCGCAGTCTTCAAATGTTATGCTGTGCAAGGATGTGCTTATACATAATTTTGTAATTGAAATGGCATGTTTACTGTTCTATTTCATGCTTGATTGTGTTTTTTAAACACCTTTACTCATGCTGTTAGAAGTGGGATTATAATTAAAATGTCCTGTTGAACACCTTGTTCAGTTCAATGAAGGCATAATAGAAGTATAAATACTTGTTCTTGTTGACTCTGTGATGTCAGCACAACAAATGCAGTAAATGTCATAAAACAAATCTCTCTTTCACCAAAGCATCTGCCAGAAGGGAAGGGAAAACAGAATTTGTGACTGGGCAAAGAGGGGCCCTCCCCTTTGGAAAAAGGAAATACTTTGAGATGTTATCTGTGATATAGATGTGTTAACTAAGGCATGGAATGATTGATTGCTTTATCTAGTTATGAGGCAAAAGAAAAAAAAATCAGAGGGGAATTTGTTCCTCTACTCACAGTCCCTTGGCCTAAAGACTAAGTAGCACTTTCTCCTACACTTGCCATTAGGAAATGCCAAGTCTGCCTGTGAAGTATTAAGGAGCAACTTACATTTATTAATATTCCTGTTTCCTTTAAATATATACAGATATGCAGACTTCAAGTCTTTATGGTGGAGTGGAACTACAACACAATGCCCAAATATTTCTGTCACTGACCAGTGGCTTCAGAACTTTAGCATAGCAATAATGGTTTCATTTTCTTTGTGTTTTCTCTTGTAGTCTAAGTTACCACCAATTATGTGATGTCTAACCTTTCTGGCAGGCATATATTCAGTCTTAAAGAGCTTTAAATTACTTCACAGCTTGAAATTACATGTAAGAAGGGATGTTCCAACATTTAGCCTAATTGATGCTTTCTTGGGCAGTTTACTTGGATACCTTGGCTCAGTTTCCTCCTCTGAAAAATGCGGACAACAATGTCTGTGTTCCTTGTGCTCTTTGATGTAATAATGTTTTTACTGTACTAAATACTAGGCTCTACACTGCACAAACCCCATGAGGTTTTAGGTTTGTGTCTTTTCACTGGCTGAAAGAGGGCTCTCAAAACCAGTCCTGGGATGTGTAATATTTCCGTGCCAAAGCAGGACTTTCCAGTCAGTAGCTGCCCTATAGAAAAAGCCCATGTGATCTTTACGAAGCAGGCAAATAAGCCGACCCAAAGGCTATGGAAATTGCCTGCTGTGCACAGTTTCATTTCCAGCTACTCCAAGCTCAGCAGAAGCTGGACATGCAGATTGTTCACAGAATTTAGTCTTTAGAATGAAAGCAGTGAGGAAGTGACAAAGTAGGAGGTTTTTCCCCCTGGGATGAGAGAGGCAGGTGGGTACATAGGATGGTCCAGTCCAGACCAGAGAAAGATTCTGCAGCAGGGATAAAGCTACAGAACATAGAACAAGCAGGACAAAATGGACAAGAATGTTGTCAAGTGGGATTGCAACAAAACTTGGTGTATTTCTTTGAATGTCTCATTATATGTACAGGTGCAGCTCTACACACCCACACATGCTGCATTTATTTCAGTGTGTGATCATATAAATACCTGCAGGTGTGATACTGAAGAGATACCCACGCTGAGGCATGAATATGGAGTTCCACATCTGTATTGGCTGCCTGGTTCACACAATGAACTTGTGCAGTCAGTGGGTTCTATTTCCACCTCCTGTACGCACTTCACAATTAAAACCAAAGAAAAGTCCATTCTGGTTTTGACATTTAACAGGATATCATGGCATAGAACTAAAATATGTGTATGGGACAGTCATCATAACCTCACTGTGTTGCACATTATATACAAAATAAGGATGAAACTAATTTCAGATAAAAATGGCCATATCAATTAAATGTATAGTAATAAATCCATAAAGTTGGAATTTAATGTGTATTTTGGAACACCTGAAACTTCAGCTGGGCTTCAGTGCAGTGGTTGGTTTCTCACTTCTGGCACACACTGAGATGGCTCCTTCTCTATAATACCATCAGATAGTCCATAATACATGGGCTGAGAATTGTGGCTGCTGCAAAACTATGGTTTTGAATTTTCTGACTTGCTTACATGTAAAAAAGTCTCAGCCATGGCATTACACTTATGCAGCTGGTTTAATTAAACAATAACATGTCGCTAACTACTTGTCTATAAACACCCTCCTTTCAGTGTCAAAAATGTAAAAGAGCTAAAGGATATAAACTGGGGGTAACATTTTGCATGTAATTGCTGCCTGCAGAGACTCAAGGTCGTCAAAGTTTCTTACCTTTTATAAGGCCTTTAGTGATAACTTTTGTTTCCCAGAGAGAAAAATAAACCTACCAAAGTTCCTTTGAACATTTCAGCAGCCTTTCATAGTGTTAGCTGTGATAGTAATGGTGTCACATTCCTAATAAGGATGTATACAAACTGTGTTTTAGGAGTCCCTGCTGCTTTCTTTGTGGAAACTATCTCAGATGCTTTGGGATTATTTGGCAGTAACTTCTTTTTGCACCATGATTTCACAGAGATCTTCTCTGTTATCTTCTTTTCAGCATATTCCTTTGAAGATCTAGGGAGAAAATGTGGTGCTTGAGCATTCAGTGAAACCTGGTTTGCATCTCCATCTAGCTAAAGTAAGGGCTGTCCTGTGACAGAAAATGTGAAGGGACCATAGTGCCCAAAATTCAACAAAAAATTTACATAGTGTTATCCAGGCAAAGGAATAATGAGAATATGGTTAATTGAGATTTCATAGGAAGCAAAGGAGAAAAGAAAGCACAATTTTTTCTTCAGGTCCGAATGCTGTTACTTTGCCCAGAGGGTCCCCGGTTGCCATCCACGGCTCACAACAGTGAATGTACTCTGTGCAGGCAAAGGGACCACAAGTGTCTGGAGCAGTGGTAGAATAACACTGTGCTAATGAAGAGTCTCGTCCAGGCAAATTTAACTCCCTCAGAATTAGCCTGGGTATCTCTCCATGACACATTTGTTTTAGAGTCACAGCATGTTGCAATTTTTAGGCTCTGGCAGGCTCCTATGTAGGAACTGTGTCCAAGAGTCTTTATTTCATCTGCTCCAATTGGGAAGAGTGTGGCAGTTCCTTTTGGTTGAGACTTTGCTATAACGATCTGAGCTTTAGACACTGTGAGACTGGCCCTCTGCAAAGCATTCACTTGGTGTTACAACCAGAGACAACTGAGCTCCAAAAGTGAGTGTAGACTCTGTCTACTTATTAAGTAAAGGGGCATGAGGAGAGCCCATTACTCAGTAATTGGTGCTCACTGCCAGTTAGCATTCAGCAGGACTTCCAGGATTTGTATAGACCTTACTGCCCAGAATGGCCTGGGATTGTTCTTGCCTTATTTGCTTCCACTATAATCAGCTGGTGGCTCTCTGCTTTGCAGAGCTACCAACACCAGCTTGATCAGACTGAAAGGCACCTGGAAGTACAGGATGTCCCCAAGGAATTCTTCCAGAGGGACATGGAGGTCTGAGAGATTCTGTGGCTAAGGTTGTGTTCCAGTTTTGTGAGCTTGCAGGTTTCTTCCCCTTCCATGGAAGACGAAAATGATTACTGGGACTTGTGGTAGATGATACAAATGCCTGCCTGATTGTGTAAAACCGTAAATAGGTATTTAAAGATGAGGCCCTCAAGTGTGATGTGACTCTTTAGGCAAGACAAACTGCACTTTGGTATGGGGAGTCGAGAGAGACAGTGTGGTAAGTCTGTATAGAAAAGCCTAAATAGCCATTTGACAAAAACACAGCTCTGGGGGGTACATGCCACTTGCAGCTTTGTCGTGGGGAAACCTTTTGTTGTCCGTGTCGCAGCTGCTGCTGTTGCTCCCAAAGAGGCGGCTTGGTGAGGTCGCCGATAGGTGTCCACACCTGTCCCTGGCGGGGCTGGCGGCCTCAAGCAGCCCACTCTGCTGCCCAGGAGCAGATGAGCTCCGGGTACGCAGGGGGAAGAAAGGGGTTGTTCTCATATGCCAGTTCCCCACGATATTTTATTTCTTTATTCATTTACAGCATAGGCGGCATTAGCCACAGCGGCTGACAACGCGGCTGAACGTATGCGGACAAGCTGCTCTCCCCGAGCAGGCGGGCTCTGCCGACACCTGTGAAGTGAAAACCTGTCTGCATCGCAGGTGAGAAAGCAAATAACGCAGGGTGCCGCCGCAGGAGTAACGCGGCGCAGGAGTAACTGCCGCAGCCACGTCCGCTGTCCCCCGCCACGGCGGCCCGAGCACCCGGGGCCGGGCCCATCGGGGCCCATCGCGGCCCCGCCATCACCGGCCCCGTGCGCCGTTCGCCGCAGCGCCCGCCAGGTGGCGCCCTTGCTCGGCGAGTGGCGTGAGGGCGGGCGGGCCCG